CCCGGCGTGTAAATGGATCTAACTCTTTGAACGTACAATAGTGGTTGTGAAGCAGAAAGTCAGTTTATTGTACACAATCGGTCAATTGCAGCTTGCCGTTGGCTGGAAACTGTACGTTTATGTCACTGGAATGCACTAATCACCCAAAAAATATTACCGCCAGCCGGCGTGTAAATGGATTTAACTCTTTGAACGTACAATAGTGGTTGTGAAGCAGAAAGTCAGTTTATTTAGCACAATCGGTCAATTGCAGCTTGCCGTTGGCTGGAAACTGTACGTTTATGTCACTGGAATGCACTAATCACCCAAAAAATATTACCGCCACCCGGCGTGTAAATGGATCTAACTCTTTGAACGTACAATAGTGGTTGTGAAGCAGAAAGTCAGTTTATTTATTGTACACAATCGGTCAATTGCAGCTTGCCGTTGGCTGGAAACTGTACGTTTGTGTCACTGGAATGCACTAATCACCCAAAAAATATTACGCCACCGGCGTGTAAATGGATTTAACTCTTTGAACGTACAATAGTGGTTGTGAAGCAGAAAGTCAGTTTATTTTGCACAATCGGCAAACTGCAGCACCAACTGTGCACGACAGCCACCAAAAAAAAAAAGGGTGTATGTCACTTTAAATTTTCGATTCTTTGATAGCTGTGGCCCTAAGTAACGATTCTGTGTCCCTGAGTAACGATTCTGTGTCCCTGAGTAACGATTCTGTGTCCCTGAGTAACGATTCTGTGGCCCTGAGTAACGATTCTGTGGCCCCTAAAGTCTCTGTGGCCCTAACTCTGTCCCTTAATACACACAGGTCTGTCTCTCTTGAATGACCGGAGGCTAATGGAGAATTCTAAGATGGCCGCGATTTATAGCTCCACCATTACACAGTGCTGGCTGGCTGCTGATTGGCTAATGCGATCACATGTCATGAATGCATTATGGGTCAGCGCGCCTTGTCTGCGCGCCTTCCCAGAGATCCCCGCCCCATCTTCTCTGTCCATTTTCTCCGTCGCCACACATGTCGCCGCCATTTTTGGGAAAATTCGATTCGTGCATCCGAAGTTTGCTAATCTTCGGATTCGTCGCGAATAGAATTTTTCCAAATCTTCGGAACGAATTCCACTTCGTCATGTTCGATTCGCTCATCTCTATAGGAGATGCATAATAAAGAGAGGAGTGATTAAGAGGCATTGTAACAGACCATTCGTCTCAATAAAATTCTTTCCATAACAGTATATTTGCCTGAAACATACTTTATGCATGTCATTTACCTGTAAGAACCTCCCTTGTGTAGACATTCAAAAAACATGAGACTTCTCCAGCAGACTCAGATATATCGCTCAAGTGACACTCTATATTGGGCTTCTCCAAACTTTCTAAGCAAAGGGCTGGTTTACTGTCCTTCAGGCTTTAAGGGGGGAGGACTGTGGCCAGTGGAAGTAGAAAATGCTCTGGGATCAGCACCCCATCATTGGTTTTAGTGGGATGAATAGTGCCCCTTTGTTGATATTAATCAGAAGAACAGTGCCCCATTGATTATGTCAGTAGAGGGAATGGTGCTCCATCATTGGTGACAGCTGGTGGAACAGTGCCCTAAGGGCCAGATAAAAGCAAGCAAAAGGACACATCAGGCCCCTGGACCACAGTGTGGAGACCAATACTGTATACTATTCCCCTTTGCTCTGAAGTTACCTTTTGAAATATATGTTTTTTTTTTTTTGCTTTTACCTGCAATGGTCTCTTTGAAACCAACCTTTCACTAAAATAAAGAAGACAAAAAATGGGTTCTCTAGAAAGAAAATAAGTAAAGAAGTAAATAGTCAACTCACCCATTGCTGGAGCTGCCAGTCTATGCCATAATGCAAAACAAATGCAGTCCAAAGATCCTTTACAATTTGACACTTCTGGGAGTGTCAATTCCTGGTCCCACCACTGAGCCCATTGGCTTGACCTGCCAGCCCCTACATCACTACTGTGTTCTGTAGTGATGTACAGGTGTGTGATAGGAAACACAGGGCACCACTGGAGACTAGATAAATAACACCCTTAAATTTGGCAGTTGTATGTCAATAACATAATTGCTTTACAATAACTTTCATGCGCAAGTATTCTTAGGCTGGGTTCACACCTGTGCAGTTGCGTTCTGCGTAGGGCAGCCCATTCATTTCAAGGTGCTGTCCTACCTGCAGAAACATGGAAGAAGTCCCCAACCATTTTTTTTAAATCTTGCTACACCGAACCACATGGTGCCATTTTGATGTGTATGAAATGCGCCGTAGTTGCTAATGTGAGAGAGTGCCAATAAGAGTTAATGGCATCCCTTCACCATTTATTGAGCGTTCCCCAACTGCAGAAATATGAACCTAGCCTTAGGTAGAAAGCGAAAAAAAAATGGCATGGGTAACTTTTTCAAAATTTTCAGCTTGCTGTAACAAAATTACAAATGTATGAACAGAACTTTTACTGCAGGAAGTAATTAAAGTACATTTACAGTCTAAGAGGCATTTCAGCTTTACTCTAAAATAATTTCCAGCTTGATAAGGAACTACGTGCGCTAAATATCAAGAGCCATTGCTGAATTAAACCAACGCGCCAAGGTATCATCAGCATTCATTTTCCTTTGTTGTTTTAATTACTTGCAGCTTTTAACTTGTTGCCTATGAAATAGTTATGGATAGCTTTCCTGGGAATAAGACTCGAAGACATAATATTTGCCATAAACTGTAATATAAATATTCTACAATAACAATGAGTTCTTATAACGTAAATTGTTGTCTAATATAACCCATATAATATTTTCATTTTGGACAGAGCAGGTAAGGGTTAGATAATCTGTCATGTTTTTATTACGGTCTGTGGCCCCATTTAGAAGATTTCCCATCACTTCCTGTTCTGTCAACCAAATAGGAAGTGAAGAGAATCTCTTCAATAGGGACCCAGACAGCAGTAAAACACTTTTATTAGTAGAGAGGAGAAGGAATAAAAACGTATTTCTGTCCACATTGCAGAGATTTATTTATATTTCATGTTGTGTTGCCAGAAAGAGAATCTCCAATAGAGACACAGGCAGCAATATAAAAAAATAACAGATTCTTTTTAGACTCAGGGTTTCAACTTTTGCCAATTTCTTTTTGCTGTTTTGACCCCTTGAGATTTTCTCAAAGTACGGGAATTTTACACAGCAGGGAAACAAAAATAAAAACTTAAAATGGTAGAAGCAGTAATGGTGCCACAGCAGCTCTGATAGAATCTAGAGTGATTTTTTAGTAAACAATCAGGGGAATAAGAGAGCCAATGCATTTCAGAAGTTCAAGAACTCTCCCTTCATCAGGCATATCTGAAGTCACATAATACATAGACTCTGATGAAGGGGGAGTGTTTGAACCCCGCAGATGTATCGGCTCTCTTAATCCACTGATTATTGAAAAAACAATTCTGTAACATAATATATAAATCCCTGATAAAGGGAAAGTGTTTGAACCCCTGAAACATGTTTACTTTTACAGGAACAAATAGACCCTTTTAACGAAAAAGAGTCAAAAAGCTGGTAAGGTAATGCATCATCTGCAGTGGACCTGTTATCTCCTCCAAATCTCCACATGTGATCACCAATATTGATTTATCATCAATAGCGAGCTTGACATCACCTCCAAATTAGCACATGTGATCACCAATATTGATTTATCTTCAATAGCGATCCTGTTATCACCTCCAAATCTCCACATGTGATCACCAATATTGATTTATCATCAAAAACGATCCTGATATCACCTCCAAATCTCCACATGTGACCACCAATATTGATTTATCATCAATAGCGAGCCTGATATCACCTCCAAATCTCCACATATGACCACCAATATTGATTTATCATCAATAGTGAGCCTGATATCACCTCCACATCTCTGTATTTGATAATCTGGGCATCACATCCAGTAATAGGAGATAACCATTCGTGACATAACATAGAGTCAAAGAAGCTCACATAGTGTAAAACTCTAAGTGTACTTTTATTAAAAAAAGGTTGACTAACCACTCACAATGTTAAAATAAACAAGTGCTTATAAGTATAAAAATACCGGACGTTCCGTGCCTCTGATGACGTCGGTTGTGACGAAGCGAGTAGGGCAGAGCTTACGCTTGTGATATCATCAAGTACGTTGTAACTAGGAAGTGGGCAGACCACATCCTGGGACCAGTATTTTTATACTTATAAGTATTGACCACCAATGTAAAGGGCATTCTTTCCACTAACCACCAATGTAAGGAACATTCTTTCCACTGACCAGCAATGCAAGGAGCATTCTTCCCATTGACCACCAATGTAGAGAGCATTCTTCCCATTGATCCATCAATGTAAAGAGCATTTTTCCCCACTATCCACCTATGTAAGAACATTCTTCCTACTTACCACCAATGTAAGGAACATTCTTCCCACTATCCCACCAATGTAAGGAACATTTCTTCCCACTAACCACCAATGTAAGGAACATTCTTTCCACTAACCACCAATGCAAGGAGCATTCTTTCCACTTGAACCACCAATGTAGAGAGCATTCTTCCCACTATCCATCAATGTAAAGAGCATTCTTCCCACTATCCATCAATGTAAAGAGCATTCTTCCCACTATCCATCAATGTAATGAGCATTTTTCCCCACTATCCACCTAAGTAAGAACATTCTTCCCACTAACCACCAATGTAAGTAACATTCTTCCCACTATCCACCAATGTTAGGAACATTCTTACCACTAACCACCAATGTAAGGAACATTCTTTCCACTAACCAGCAATGCAAGGAGCATTCTTCCCATTGACCACCAATGTAGAGAGCATTCTTCCCACTATCCATCAATGTAAAGAGCATTCTTTCCACTATCCATCAATGTAAAGAGCATTTTCCCTACTATCCACCAATGTAAGAACATTCTTCCCACTAACCATTAATGTAAGGAACATTCTTCCGACTATCTACCAATGTTAGGAACATTCTTTCTACTGACCAGCAATGTAAGGGGCATTCTTCCCATTATTCATCAATGTAAAGAGCATTCTTCCCACTATCCACCAATGTAAGGAACATTCTTCCCACTAATCACACATGTAAGGAACATTCTTTTTACTGACCACCAATGTAAGGAACAGTCTTCCCACTAACCACGAATGTACAGAGCATTCTTTCCATTGACCACCAAGGTAAAGAGCATTCTTCCCACTAACCACCAATGTAAGGAACATTCTTCCCATTGACCGCAAATGTAAGGGGGCATTCTTTCCAATGACCACCGATGTAAGGATCATTCTTCCCACTGACCACCAATGTAAGGATCATTCTTCCTCTGACCACCATGTAAGGAACATTCTTCCCTTTGACCACCATTGTAAGTGGCATTCTTCCCACTGACCACCAATGTAAGGATCATTCTTCCCACTGACCACCAATGTAAGGAACATTCTTCCCTTTGACCACCATTGTAAGTGGCATTCTTCCCACTGACCACCAATGTAAGGGGCATTCTTCCCTCTAAATTGACTTCAGTAGGGGTTTGCCAAAACCAGAAAATTATTTCTGTGTTCTTCTGGAGTAAAAAGCTGTCCTAATCCGTTGAAAGTGTTTCAATGAAATCAATGAAAGTGTTTTGATTGCTGTACATGTTCCTACTGGAGAGATTCTGCTCACAGCCTGTTCTAGTGGCACAACAAGGTGGGAGGGGAAATCTATGCAATCTAGACAGACAAAAAAAATGACAGTCTTTAACTTTTTTTAACCTGTCCGTGGCTCAGCATAGTGTGAGTTGTAGATCCTTGGTGAAGTTTCTGACAACACACTGTCTGGCAATGGTACATGTTTGATTAGTATTTCTTGAACCAGTTGACATTTTGCTTACAACAAGCAGTGGTGTTTTTATTATCAGGAAGGAAGCAGAAGCTTGCATTGTAAAATAATGGTCATTTTCACAGTGTAGGAGTGGGCGTAGAAATAAAAAAAATCAGCGTGATTTACTGCAGACAAAGAATATAAAAAGCAGGGAAGTGTATAGGCATTTAATTAGAGATAGAGACAACTGTTTGTTTCTCAGCAATCCATCATAAAAGAGAATGTTTATTGTCATCTGACCATAAAAGAGACTTAGTTATCACTACAAACAGTAAATTGGAAAAATGTTAATTTGCATGCTGTCCTATACGGGGCTGCCAACTCTTCAATAGATTTTAGCTTGTTTGCTATTCCATATTTTCATTGTTTTATTTCATGCACAGTTTTGGAAGTCCTCCCTCTAGTGGACATTTGTATACACAAGCATATGCATTCTTGCTTAACCGCTTCCCTACCACTCTGTAGCAAAACTACTGCTGTAGGGTGGCAGGGCTGTGTAAATATATATATATATATATATATATATATATGTGTGTGATCTTGCATTTCCGGGTAGGAGGCGCGTGCGCCACTATTGGCGGCTACAGCTGTTGATCAATGGGTCCCGGCCGGAGATTCCCCGCTGGCACCCAGCGATCGCTGAGTAACACTGACAGGGAGAGGGCCTGTGTGTAAACAATATAGATCTCTTTCCTGCCAGCAATAACATGCTGCTGTGTATTTCTCTGCACAGCATGTTTCCCATGTAAAACACACACAGCACACATAGTAAAACAGCACACAGTTAACCCTTTAATCACCCCAGATATTAACCCCTTCCTGCCCAGTGCCGTTAGTACAGTGTCAGTGCTTTTTATTAGCACTGATCACTGTATTGGTGTCACTGGGGATGTCAGTGACAGTTAGTTCCCCCCAGTGTCAGAATGCCCGCCGCAGTCCATCTATAAGTCTCTGATCGCTGCCATTACTAGTATAGAAGACATTTTTTTTTAAATTCCAATATATATACTGCCATTTGTAGATGCTATAAGTTTCATGTAAACCAATTAATTTACACGTATTGGGATTTTTTTTTTAGCAAAGACATGAAGTAGAATACATTTTGGCCTAAATTTATGATGAAATTTGATTTTTCAAATTTTTATACCGGATACTTTTTATAGCAAAAAATCAAAAATATTGTTTTTCAAAATTGTTGTTCTTTTTTTGTTTATAGTGCAAAAAAAAAAATGCACAGATGATCAAATACCACCAAAAGAAATCTCCGTTTGTGGGGAAAAAAAGGACATAAATTTAATTTGGGTGCAGCATTGCATGACCACGCAACTGTTAGTTAACCTCCCTAACGGTATTCCCGTGTCAGTGCAAAAAGCGGTAACCCCGAGCTACACTCGGGCTTACCATGCGGCGCTGCATAGGGAGTCCCTGCAGCGCTTACCTTGTCCTTCGCTCCCGCGATGCATCCCCTGCAGCGTCCCCAGCCATCTCCTCCGGCCGATGCCGGCATCAGGCTTCTGTGTTCCGGTCCCTGTGACGTCGGGACGTACGGGTGCAGCTGCCGGGTGGTGGGGAATTTAAAAATGTAAAAAAAGTCATTTTTTTCAAAACACATTTTTCATAGTAAAACATTGCTGTTTCAACCCATTTCACATACATTTTGTCCCGAGTGCTTTGTCCTGCGCCCTGCCTGCGTTTTGTATGTTCTTTCTGCCTGGAAACTGAGAAATGTCCATGGCGTCCAAAAAGTGTCCCTTTAGGTCAAAAGCGGGTTTAGATCAGCTAGAGAACAACGATAGTAAATTAGAACCACTTGCAGAATTGAGTGATAATGATTCGTGGGGGAAATTCCTCATCAGACACTGAAAACGATTTTGCGACTTTGCTCAGCGATGTGCGAACTTGGCGCTATATTTCAAATTTCAGTGTTTTTTCGGTTTGATTATATTATTGAATAACATGTATTATTATTATATATTATTATTTTTTGTGATTATTTATTAAATTATCAAAATAAAAGTGCAGCGCTGCACTTTTATTTTATTTTATTTTGTTTATTTCAGTTGGAAGGGCTCGTGGTTCCTTTTTGTGCATTTGCCGCTCACTGGAGTGCGCTCACTTTCTTATCTACACTCATTTATTAAATTATAATTTATGATTTCGTGTTTCAAATTTTATCTTACCCGGGATGTTTAATAGACTCTTGTTCGGACAGATTTCAGTGAGTTATTCCTAAAAATTACAGCCTACAATATAAAACTACATATTTCCATGCAAAATAATGGTACCGCTTTCAGCACCAAAAATCTGAAATAATCATACCGCCAGGGAGGTTAAAGTAACGCAGTGCCGTATCGCAAAAAATGGCCTGGTCAGGAAGGGGGGGAAATCCTCTGGAGGGCAAGTGCTTTTATACTGCTTATACTTATCTATTGTATTTAGGGAAACCAACACATTCACCAGCAGAGACATGCTTATTTCTTTATTGGTTTGCCCATTTTTCAACAAGTCATTGACTTTTTCTCATTTGTTCTTTGCAGGTCCACAGACCTGCCACATGCATCATGTGCAATCTAGGGCAGCTTGTTCTTGAACATGCCACCCCAGATCATATATGGCACGTGCTTCAAATCTCTTTTGTTCATGCGCTGTATGAGACCTGGGAAAGCTTGTTTTTGAACAATAACAAGCTGCCCTAGACCTTGTAAAGTGGACATATTGTAAGAGATCTAACACATGTGGTATACATGACCTGCTTTGTATTACACATATGCAAGATCAGACAAGATCACCTAGGAAGGCACTGGCGGTATAGCCTTCCCAGGGTGCACCTGACCACATCACCATTGCTTATTAAAAAACAAAAAAGTGCCTGTAAAAAGGTAATATTTTAAAAAACTAGTTAAAGTGTTACTAAACCCACAACAGTAAAATCAGTCTGTATATGCAGTAAAGCATGCTTGTTATACTCACTGAGGAACCTAAGGGGTTAATCCTCCGTATTGTATAAAAAGGCTGTTTGATCCTGTCTTCTCTGACCCTCCTATTCTTCTACTGTCCCCAATCCATCTGCTGATAGAACAGAGCCTTGGGGTAAAGCTGCACATGCTCAGTTTGGTGTGTTGCTAGAGAGTTTTCATTTTTCATGGGAGGGTGCATTTGATCAGCACAGGGCCAATCAGCGCTGTCCAGACAGAGGGCTAGGGGTTATGCAGCCCAATAGGATAATCAGGGGAGAATGAAAACTCCTCCTACAAGCTTAAACCAGTGCTCAGCTGGACACTGATAGACTGCTATATACTGCTGATGAGAAAATGTATTTAGCAGTTTATATTTACTAAAATAATTGCATTTCCATGTTCTGTGTACTGTGGGAGACCAGATATAGTGAATGCAGGGTCCAGGGAAACCAGATATAGTGAATGCAGGGTCCGGGGAGACCAGATATAGTGAATGCAGGGTCCGGGAAGACCAGATATAGTGAGTGCAGGGTCCGGGGAGAGCGGATATAGTGAATGCAGGGTCCAGGGAGACCGGATATAGTGAATGCAGGGTCCTGGGAGACCGGATATAGTGAATGCAGGGTCCTGGGAGACCAGATATAGTGAATGCAGGGTCCGGGGAGACCAGATATAGTGAGTGCAGGGTCTGGGGGGACCGGATATAGTGAATGCAGGGTACGGGGAGAGCGGATATAGTGAATGCAGGGTCCTGGGTTTAGTAACACTTTAATTTAAAAAATGACTTCATGATGCAGAGAGTAGGCAGAATAGAGAGAGTCCTCTGAATATCTTGTGCACCAAATATTGGAGTATCCCAAATCTCCCCTACAACTCATCCAAATTCAACAAGCATTAAACCTTAAAAAGACACTCAATGCCTGGTCATTGCGTTGTGAGACTGTGGAACTGCTGTGTGTATACAGAGCATTAATGTGGAAGCATGGATCTATAGGGAGTACTAATGTGGAAGCATGGATCTATAGGGAGCACTAATGTGGAACTATGACCATGCTTCCACATTAGTGCTCCCTATAGATCCATGCATCCACATTAGTGCTCCCTATAGCCCCCCCCAAAAAAAAAAAAAAAAAAAAACATTTTATCCGTATCACAACTCAAAGATCAGAGTATAAAAAACATAAAAAAGAAAGAAATCATATCATCCCAGAAAAATAAGATAATATGTGTAGCAGAGTCCCCAAACGTGCCTTGCAGATTTGTCCCACGCTCTATACCTAAGTGTGTGTAGCCAGACACACAGCAGTTCCACAGTCTCACAACCCAATGACCAGGCAGTGAGTGTCTTTTTAAGGTTTAATGCTTGTTGAATTTGGATGGGTTGTAGGGGGGATTTGGGATACTCCAAAATTCGGTGCACAAGATATTCCCAGGACTCCCAATAGAATGAATCCCACTTTGGCACTTTCCCACTAGAACAGTCACATAAAGCGTCAAAACAGAAAGCAGTCACTAGGATCCCACTTCCAGGTCTCTACTCACTGCGTTTCCAGATACATGGATTGATCCTTTCCAATACTGACTAGTCACTGTGCCGGGTATCTCTACGCCAGATCCTTAGTGTAC